ATACCATCCTGATGGGAGGGGAAGGTGTTCTTTGTTACTACCAGGTGGAAATGGAAATCCAGGCTTCTCCTTACATGGTCTCCATTGATGCTATGGGAGACATCATTACTGCCTGGCAGGGTTAAACGTCTTGGCTCTCTACTTGACCTTCTCTGACACCATTCTAGTGTTGAGTGTCTCATTTCTTCCTGAAGAGCATAGAAATCCAGGCTCCCCACTTGGATTTTGTTGGCATGACTGGGGATGGGGCCACTGGTTTTTCCTGTGGTATTTGACTGGGATGGAGTGGTTATTATCTAAAACTTTATGTCTTGCTAGGCTTCCCATTTCCTTGTTCTTTGGCTAGAGAAAGCAGACTTTTGTTGGGTATTGTTTTGGTCTGTATCCATTGGTATTTCCAGGTTGCAGGCTTCTTTAGCACCAAGACTGGAATATATGAGGCAAAACAAAAACCCAGAGAACTCACCAACATATTGTCCCTTGAGTCCTGAGGTCCCTAGACTTTTTTTCTTTTTTCTTTTCTCCATCTTCAGACTCTTCTTTTGTTTGTTTTATATATATGTACAATGTCTCTTTGTACTCAGTAGGGGGAATAGGAAAAGTATCTCTTTGAAGACAGAGGTCAGCTCAATTATTTTTGAACTTTATTTTCAATGTGTGTCCCGTATGGCTTTTTTTCTCTGTGCAGGTACCTGGAACTGGAAAGCAGTGGCCATCGTAATGAAGTCAGACTGCATTACCGCTCAGGCAGTCACCGCCCTCACACGGAAGTCTTTCCTTATATTTTGGCTGACGACAAGTGGCACAAGCTCTCCTTAGCCATCAGTGCCTCCCATTTGATTTTATACATTGACTGCAATAAGTAAGTAAAATGTACTCGTTTCAGGAAATGGGATATTCTAAGAAATGACTGTCTACTCATGTTCCTTCTCTGATGTTTCTTTTTTACAGAATTTATGAAAGAGTGGTGGAAAAGCCTTCCACAGATCTGCCTCTGGGCACAACATTTTGGCTGGGACAGAGAAATAATGCACATGGATATTTTAAGGTATCTTTTGGCTTAAGTTTTAGCATCAAGTGTAAATTTAAATGCTTTCTAGTGAGTTTGGAAAGGTACATTTCACTTTAAATGGTGTAAAACAGAATATTTTTATTTGTATAGTTTTTTAAAAATTTGTGTGTATTTCTATTTGTTTTCTATTTCTGCACTGATATTTTATTTAGCCAGCAAACACTGTTTTCTCTTTTTTCCTCAATGAGTTTGACCTTTAGACATTATAGAAATGATCACAAGACTTCAGTCAGGGCCGTTAACATGTCATTCTTGAAATTAAGCATTCAAAGTAATAAAAATCTGAGATGTTAATATACAAATAAAATCTCCACTACTGAAATATACCTTGATGATACTTTTACAGGGGTATTGATAATAGGGAATTCCAGGTTTTTAAATATTCATTATTCATGGTCTCCTTGTACTCCAGAAAGTGAAAAAGGAATGCATGTATATGCCGAAATCTGTCAAAATGGAAAGCAGTCATAATTTATATTTTTTTCTTTAGTATGTACTTAGAGACAACACCACATAGAATTTCATCATTGGAGAGGATCTAAATGACATCTCATTCAACTTTCTGTGCATTAAGGATGAAGAAATAAAGTTCAGAAAATTACTTGACTGCCAGCCAATAGTGTAATCATTTTCCCCCAGTGACTATGACAGTGCCTGCAATACAGAAGTGGCTCAATGAATGCTTGTAAATCAGGCAATGATAGGTGATATGTCCAACTCATGTATTTCAAGGTAGAGTAGGTACTAGTAAATTTAAAATTGTGTTCTAAGCAAAGTTTATATTTCTAGAATATATAGAATATATTTCTTGATAAAGGGTCTTTGCATAAACCTGTCCAGAGAGGTTAAGTAATTTGCCCAAAACCAGACATCTAGTAAGTTATACACAATTGATTCCATGCTTGCAAATTCTACAAATCAATATTTTTTTTTTCACATAAGGGATGACAAATATATGCTTGAGTGTCAAGTTTCTTCTCTTTAATCATGAAAGTCTTTCCCATGGAGCCCAGATGTGGCCTCAGGATCTTTACACATCAGTAATGTGTAAGACTTTAGGGGTCTTCATCTTTACTGTAGTCCATGAATAATACCCACTAGAGTTATGCAGTGCACAAACTATATAACTGTACATGGTAGCCTTGTTTTTATGTTGCTGCTTCAAGTGATAGGAGTTTTTACACAAGTTGCCTCTTCAACCTAAACCCAAAGAAACAATAGTTCCAGTGAGTGCCACACAGTATACTAAAATATTTATCATTCACGTTGATACAGGCCATTAATCAGATTAAACATGTAGATGTACAGACCACTATTTGACTGGTAAATCTTTATAGGTGCATTCAAAATTGTCTTGATAACATGTTGGTACTGTCACACCTGTTATTAGACATTCTGTTTGCAGAATGGGATAAAGCGAAATATCAATTAAAGAAAATATATAATGTTGATGAAGGAACGGGGTGACGGATGAAAGTGACATCTGGGCTGTGTCTGAGGAGGTCATTTCTGATCTACTATTGGCCTTTGCTTGAGTCCAGCAAACTAGAGGATAACTATGCCTCAATGACTAAGGATGCATATAAATTTTGCCTATAAACACGTGATAATGCCTTCTGTATAAAACAGGTCATTTCCAACTGGCATTTTAAAACATTTCATGCTAAACTTTCTGTACTCCCAAGGAATTGTCACTAAGTCTTACTGCAGCTGTTTCATAAATCTATTGTCCTTTTTGAATTGAAAAATTAGTTTTAAAAGATCCAACTGAAAAATGAAAAGTGCTCAAATGAGCATGCCTTTGTGACTCCATTTTTCTTTTTCTTTTTGATGATTACAGTTAATTTAAAATTGGTATCAGTTTCAGTGTTGTTGAAACCAGAAGTGATTTTCAGGTTGGTTTTTAAAGGTCATTTTCAAGCCCTACTTCAGTGGCTAACTAAAAATAACCTTTCAAAACAACACAACTATTGCCTCTTAATTATATCTTGACATTTAATCTTAAGGCTTTAAAAATATTATCAATAGGAGAGTACATGGGTAGTAATATATTTTTCTTGATGAATTTCTTTCCCTTTGGTATGAAGTGGAAGTAATGTATTCAAAAAGACTTTTTACTCGAGGATTTTGGTGAGTCTATTCTGTAATGTTTTCCTTCATGAACTTGACTACTAAACATAATTTGGGTAAATGAAAGTAATATGTCTTTTTAAAAAATTTTTCATACACAGGGTATAATGCAAGATGTGCAATTACTTGTCATGCCCCAAGGATTTATTGCTCAGTGCCCAGATCTTAATCGCAGTAAGTCTATTAGTTCTTGCACTGTGTGATGTGATGAAAAGTGTGCTTCTTGCTTAATTTTGTACAGAATGTCAGCTTGAAATTGGAATTCCCATATATTAGTTGTCAGCACAGCCTTAACCAGATTGAGCCCCTGTTAAATACAACCTGACCAATGTGGTGTTTGTAATTCCAGCTTGTCCAACTTGCAATGACTTCCATGGACTTGTACAGAAAATCATGGAGCTGCAGGATATTTTAGCCAAAACATCAGCCAAGGTAAAAACTACTCATAAATAGTAAAAGAGCTAAAACATCCTTGAGGTTCCTAATAGTTTCTTGTATAACCATAGATTTTCACCTTTGAGACTTTTCTTGTACTATACTATTTGCTAGGACTAATCTAAATCCCTGCTCAAGGAAAGGGTTTATAAATATTCAGACCCTAGCCATCTGTATAACAAATGATTCAGTAAATCAGGAATGAGGCAGATTACGGGGTTTATATACTGCTTACTAGTATATACTTGCTATAAACAATAGCAAGACTTATTGTTTAGTTTTTATTATTATTTATTTTTATTTAGCTTTTCATTACAAGCAAGGCGGTGAGAGGACAGTGCAAAGAATATTCACACTAGAAATTGTGTCAAGGAAATTGTCCCACAAATGCTTTCTACTACTATTTTACAGTTGTAGGATTATTCACTAATACCTTAACCATATATCAGGTTTACCTACAATCACACTAGAAATTGTGTCAAGGAAATTGTCCCACAAATGCTTTCTACCACTATTTTACAGTTGTAGGATTATTCACTAATACCTTAACCATATATCAGGTTTACCTACAATTTTGCCAGACTTGTAATTTTACACAGTAGTTATGGATTACTGAAGGTTGTGTTGTATACTATATGATTTGTTTCTTATACAGTATAAATTCTAAATTTAATTTTTTCACTTGAGTAAACATATTAATGAAATTAAACATATTTTTAAAAATGGAAAATAGTTCTCTGCATTGTGGGTGATACTATTTTGAATTAGCCTTCAATTTGTGCCTTATGAATTACGCTTTTTGTTTCAAAGGCAGGGAGCAAATTTACAACAAAAAGAAGAGAAGGGAAAACAGCACTTTCTTTCTAATTAAAGTCTTAAGTGTATTTATAACAAGTGGTTGATGGGTTATAGCCGTCATTACTGCTGTACACTTAAACAAAATTAGGTGCCTACTGGAGTGTTTTGCATTTCTCTGTTGCTGGAATGGTGAACAATGTAAACCCTTCCTTTGTGCCACAGCTGTCTCGAGCTGAACAGCGAATGAATAGATTGGATCAGTGCTATTGTGAAAGGACTTGCACCATGAAGGGAACCACCTACCGAGAATTTGAGTCCTGGACAGATGGCTGTAAGAACTGCACATGCCTGGTATGGCTTCCATTTGAGTTTAGACTAAGGGAACTCAGATGCCCCCACTCTTTAAAAATTTATTAAAACAATGTAATCATGAAAATTTCAAGACCTGTTTTCTCAAGACACAACACTAAAGTGCCAGCAAACCTGGTCACATCTAAAGAACTGTTGTTGCATTATTAAAAACACTTTCTAGCCCATAAAGATGACCATGGTTTAGGAATGCTATACAGTTTAAGTTTATTGCTACACACATGAAATTAGCAATTTAAATTAGGATAGTAAGGTGATTCCCAAAGGATTCTATCCTGTTGTCCTTAATATTTCCAGGGATTTTCCCTTCGTGTTTTTATTAATGCATTTTAATGAAGCTAAATTATATACAGCATTAAATATAGTGTCCAGACTGAACAATACAAGCATATAATGGAGTTTAAATAAAGTAGTCTTTAATAGGTTACTAATACAGTGGAATACAAATTATAGTGTTTATGATTTTTCTTTTTGTTCACTAGTCAAGTAGAATATTTTAGTCCATTATTTAAAAAATTTTGTTTTTTTT